CGAACCCGTGGGCTCAGGCAATCCACTCACCTCAGCCTCCCAAAGGCGCGGGATTACAGGCTGAGCCACCGAGCCCGGCTTCTAAAGGGATTCTAATTTGAGCTGCCCATGCTCATTGCCAATATATTGCTTGTCTACTTTATTCTATTAGTTCTTCATATATACAAAAATGAGAAATTTTATCTTTGGTATTGACTACCAGTTTACGTCCTGTTTTTATCTCACCATTTGCCAATTTTAGTTGTTTTATTTGTCTGTTCATTTGCTTGTTTGTTTTAACATGGAGCCATTTCCAGTTTTCATGTGGTTAAATTTTATCTCCTTTTTGATTTTACCTAATCTTAGAAAACCCAGAATAATCTAGCTTGAACTCGATCAGCAACTCAGCTCCACATTTGGTGGGCTAAGATAATGAGGAGAATAATAATAATGATAATGACATAATTGGGACTAACATTTATTGATCTTTTTCTTCGTGCCAGGCACTGTTCTGTGGACTTTACATGTATTGATTCATTTAATCATCCTAACAATAGTATAGATCCAGTATTATTATCCTCATTTTACATCCTCACAATAAAGCAGAGAGGAAGTACATAACCACTGAAGGCCACTAGTGGGAGGTGGAGGAGGCAGAATTCAAACTGAGGTGGTCTGTGGGATGTTCCTACTCCCTACAGTGTCTGCCACTTCTAGAGTGAACAGCTGGACCCTGAGCTAAGGCCATGACACACAATGCACTGCTGATTTTTTATAGCAATCATATGGAATGAATACCTTCTTTCCTTCCCCTTTCTTTCCTTCCTTCTTTTTCATTCTTTTTTCCTTCTTTCTTTCCTCCTTGTCTCTCTCCCTCTTTCCTTCCTTCCTTCTTTCCCCTCTTGCCTTCCTTCTTTTTTTTCTTCCTTTTTTCTTCTCTCTTTCTTTCTTTCTTTCTCTCCTTCCTTTTTTCTTTCCTTCCCCACTCTCCTTCCTTCTCTTTTTTCTCTCTCCTTTCCTCCTTCTTTTCTTCCCTTCCTCCTTCCTTCCTTCCATCCCCTCTCTCTTTCCTTCCTTCTTTTTCTTTCTTTCTTTCTCTCCTTTCCTTCTTCCTTCTTGTTCTTTCTTTCTTTCTCTCCTTTCCTTCTTCCTTCTTTTTTTTTTTTTTTTTGAGACAGGGTTTTGCTCTAT